TTTCCTCTTCTCATTCTTGCTGCCTATCCAATCTCAGTCTCCATTCACCACATCATTCTCACTGGTTCCCAGTCCTAACCACGCTCCCCAAGTTCTTTAACATATCTCTGTATCCTCCTTCTTGCTTCTGGTCACATTTCTTTTGCCCAACTAGTCTTTTTCCTCAGCTCCTCATCAGAACCATCTCTTCACCCCCTTTTTTCTCAGTACTAGTCTCTATGCCCAGCATATCCTAATTCCCCAGGTCCTCATCTGGTCTCAGTCTTTCTCCTTCCCCTCTCCCCAGCTTTCTGGTTCTCACTCCCAGTCTCCTTTTCCAGCCAGTTGCAGTCTTCTCCCCAGCAGCTAGCCCAAACTCTTTCTCCAGCTTGTCAGTCTTCTCCTAAGCAAGTCCCTATTATCCTTTCCTTCCCCTGGTTCCAGTTTTTGCTTTTCTCTCCCCCCAGTTCCCTTGTCCCAAAGTAGCCTCCGTGTGTTCACTGTTGTCTCCTCTGCATTTTAACCAGGCAGCTTCTCTTTCTTGTTCCCAGTTCAGGAATCATAACCCTAGAGATGCAGCACAGATTGGAAAGGTCTTGATCAGACATGGGTTGGAACATGCTCCTTGCGGCTAGAACTCTTTAGGGGCTTTAGCTTTTACAGTTAAAGGAATCTCTACTGAACATATGTGAATAGTGATTTTCAAAAGCTTATAATTGGGCCAAATGTGAGCAGATTTTGGTGGAGCAGACAGTCACAAAAGCAGTCCTCCTTCCCACCAAATTTAAAGTGCCTGCTTCAAAGTTTAGGAGCACTACAACTTTTCAAAGGAAAAAAAAAAAAACAAACAAAGAAACAAACACCAACCAATTTTAACATAAGCAAAACAATGTCTTTTTCTTTAGCATTGTTTTTAGAAATGGCTGAACCATTTTGTCTGAAGTTAAAAGTTCATACCGAGGCAGACTCTCGGTACAGAAAACTTCAGCCCAAGCAGTTAACATTTGGCAATATTATAAACAACTGACAAGAGGGTTTTGTAATCACAAGTGTCAGGCAATCTTAATCCTAGGTGGAGCTATCAGCCCCACCTAGGATATCTAGATTTCCTCCCTCCATTTTAAATATACACCTGATTTTGCACGTGGGGTGACTGTATTGCTTATTATAACTTTAAGAATTTTACAGTTATTTTAGAAGTGGATACCAGTTTTTCATGCATTTATTGATATCACTTTTTATGTCCAGCTGTCTTTAAAGAAAAATGTCTTAGATTAGGTCTACCCTTAAAATGCTACAGAGGCAGCTCTGCGGGAGCCAGTATGCATGAGAAGCCGGCTTGAAAGGCAGCTCCTCACGTGTACCAGCTCCTGCCCCCTCCTCTGCTGCTGCCTCTGATACAGAGACCAGCGGAGAGGCAGAGCTGCATGTAATGGTGACGGTTAACAGATGAGTTCAGGCTCATTGATTAAACATATACATCGGTATACGTTCACATCTTTACTTACTACAGCACTGCTAGGGATTCTATCATTGTATTAAACCCATCCCAAAAAGCAGTAGTTAGGTCTATGAAAGATTTCTTCCCTCAACCTATAGTTGTCTACACTGGGAGTTAGGTGGGCTTCACTATGTCTGAAAGCTGCTCAGATTTGAAATGTTAGAAATAGTCTTGGCAGAGAGAGGTGAGGGGAAATGTAGTCCTGGTGAGCTACACTAAGAAGAGAAAAAGTTTATCCCCTGGGTACCACCACTACCCATGTGATATAAATGTTTGTATGGAGCCTTTTATCTATCTTATATGACTCTGATTACCATAATTTCTGAGTGCCTCACAATCTTTAGTGTATATATCCTCACAGCACCCTTGTGAGGTTCTGTGATCCCCATTTTACAGAGACAGTTATTCAGGTATGTCTACACTGCAAGTAGACACCCATGGCTGGCCTGTGCCAATTGACTCAGGCTCATGGGTGTTGGGCTGTTTAACTGCAGTGTAAAAATTCTGGCTCAGGTTGCAGCCCAAGTTCTGAGACTTCCATCTGGCAAGGTCTTACAGCTTGGTTTCAGCCCAAACTCCAATGTCTATACCACAATTAAATAGCCACTTGGCCTGAGCCAGATGCAGGTCTTTAAATTCCAGTATAGACATACCCCAAGTGATTTGCCTAAAAGATCACAGTGGAAAAATGTGGTGGAGCAGGTACTTGAATCCAGATTTCCTAGGTCTAAAGCTTGTGCTTTAACTGAACCATCCATAACTCTTTTCTCTTTAAATCAGTAACTGAACAAAAATCTAATACACACACACACACACACACACGTATGTTAGAGTGTTATTTCAAAGGGAATCCTTTCAGCTGTAGTTTGGGAAATACTTCAAAAATACAACAATTTTGCTGGCAGTTACCTTCTAGACAATTGTTAATTCTAAATAAATGTTAATAAATTGATGTTCTTTGTGTATCTTTAGTGCATAACAAGGACAGGTTTAAAAACTAAGTGCTAATAGAATTAGTTTCCAAATTTTTGCAAAAGATCATACTTTAATCTGGAAAAAGAAACTCAACAATGGCTGTAACAATATCATAAGTAGTTTTTCTCATTACACATGTAAGTACACATGGCAAACTGATAAGACCTGGGAGGAAAATATGTACTAAAAGTGGAGGGATGATTTAGAGTATCTGAAAGGAACAAACAATAGTTCCTGTTTTCATATTATTTATGCATATATATTACATATGGAGGGCCAAAGCCTAGGCCCACAATTCTGGAAAAAGGCCAAAAATCAGAACCTTTTATCAGACTTCCCCCTTCCATTCAAATCTCTGCATTTTGAATAAAACAGAACCCACATTTGAACCATCCCTAGTAAAAATAAAACCTCGTCTCTTTAGCCCATTTCATTTATTAAACCCCAGCACATTATTACTTGTATTGCTATAATTCCTGGGACTTCCAGTCATAGACCCCAATGTACTAGGAACTCCAAATACAGATTAAAAAGAGGGACCCTGACCCAAAGACCTTACAAACTAAGCATAAGAGGCAATGGGTGAATACAGAGAGACAGACAAGGAGAGCAAAAATGGGGCAATAACGGTCAGCAATTCTGTACCGTATACTATGCACAGTACAGATTAACCTTAAATAAAGATCTTAAATTCCATGGTTTTGACCAAATTTTGCTTTGAATCTGGAACTAACAGGATACTCACAGGACATGAACAATAAAATACATCTAATCCTCTCTCAATCGAAAATTCAGTGTTTCACACAGTGCTAATAAGTCATCTACTCTGCAGTGTTTAAACAAACTCAGCCATGCATGTGTAAAGGTTTACTGCAAATCTAAATGGAAATGGATTTGTCAAAGTTTCAGAAAATTCTAGTTGAAGGAATATCTTATGATCATTAAAGATACTGTGGCACTTTTCATGAGAGTGGCTCTATTAACTCTGCATTGGAGCCTAGTATGAGTATGTGTAACTGCAGTCTGCCTACAGTTTCATTCACCCTCTTGAAAAAAAATTACTGATGGTTAAAATGGGTGATAATTTCTAATCCAGAGAAAGCTGCATTTCTACTATTCTTATGCATACTTAGTACATTTCTATAAAGTGTTTTGTGATCATCCCTGATAATTTATGTAACTTACATGTATATTTATACAGTGACTTATCCAGCTGGCTGTTACTGTTCACATACAGACAAACCTAAACCAAAACCTCTCTTGGATTAAGCAAAAGTCTCAGAGGGGTAGCCATGTTAGTCTAGTCTGTAACTTTAAAAACAAGTAGTGCATAGGGTTGCCAGATGGTTTCAACAAGAATACCGGACACACCTGACATTACATCACAATCTATATTACATCTTATTTAGAAAATACTGGACATTTTCTCAATTTGTTTCCTGAACAGAAAACTCAGATACTGGATTGTGCAGTTCAAAACCAGACCCAAGGGCTGCGTCTAGACTGGCATGATTTTGCGCAAATTTAAAAAAAAGTTTTTCTGTTAAAAGGTATTAGCGCAAGAGAGCGTCTATACTAGAATGTGCCTTTGCGCAAAATATTTGCTTTTGCGCAAAAGCATCCATGCCAGTGTAGACGCTCTCTTGCACAAGAAAGCTCCGATGGCCATTTTAGCCATCGGGCTTTCTTGCGCAAGAAATTAATGTGGCTGTCTACACTGGCCCTCTTGCACAAGAATACTTGCGCAAGAGGGCTTATCCCTGAGCGGGAGTGTCGGAGTATTTGTGCAAGAACCACTGATTTTGTACATTACAAAGTCAGTGTTCTTGCGCAAATACTTACGACCACTGAAGACAGGCAACAAGATTTTGCGCAAAATCATGCCAATCTAGACACACCCGAGCAGTGCAGCACCTTAAAGACTAACACACTATATATAAAGCGAGAGAGAGTGTATCATGAGCTTTTGTGGGCAAAACCCACTTTGTCTGATGAGATGAGCTAGAGTGGAGAAAAAAGGGGAACTTCAGAATAAGAAGGGAGAGCGAGAAAAATAATTCTACTGTCTACTTAGTGCTTAAAGCTCCTCAGTGTAAACCATATGGCGATCCATCCCATATTGTTTGTATAAGGTGGGAAAGAGCTAAACTTGATCCTTAACTTTTTAAGCTCTATGGTCTGCACATGGAGTTCTCATTCATTCTGTAAAATGCATTACAATTGGGATGTTGCTTCAACAAAGTAAATGCTGTAGAGGAACTAGATGGCTCCAGAGTTTGGTAAGCAGAATACAAAGCTTTTTCTCTCTAGATTGTTGGATACATCCTAGTTTAGGTAGTGACTGAAAACTCTTATTACCTGAATGGCTCTTTAGTATTCTGTTTGAAAAAAATTGTAGTTTGTCTTCCTACTTTATTCTCCAAATTATCCCACCTTTGCTTGTGCCGCCTCCAAAATCTTCTGCAACCTAACTAGGTAAAAAAAATATAGTCTGAATGATACTTCCTGATAAGTATATTCTTAAAAAAAAATACCTTTCAACAGTTTTAAGCAGATAAGATGTAAAAAGAAAACAAAAAGCCCCCAAACATCAGCCTGTCTATCTACTTTGCCGTTAATAAGAAGTTGTTCTGCTCTATTAAGTTTACTGTGTCACCAAAACCTTTGCAAGTCTTAACTATACAAAGCCTACATTGTCTTGACAAGGATACTGAGAAGATGTGCCTGATCTTGGCAGGAGCTAGGTGTACCCAGAACCATGTTATTTTAAAAACAACCACCACACACACAACAAAAAAGAAATATTAATTTAAGTCTCTCACTGGGAAAGATAATGAGCAGTGTCCTTACTACAAGTCTATAGCATGCACTGGTCAATTTTAGAAACATGAAAACTGAAAATGATAGGCCAGATGCAGAACACAATTCCAAGTGACCCACGTATAGTTAGAGCACGGAGTGTTCACATTATGGCTTTTGCTGTAGGTTCACCTCTAATACTGAGATGTAAATGTCCTGCAAGAGAACTTATCTTCATACATAACTATGTGGACTGGCAGATGTATTTCTTCACCAAGGGCCAAATCCTTCTCCTTGATCCCATAGAAATCAATAGTAAAACTTCCACTGTCTTCAGTAGAAACAGAATTTGGCCCTTAAATCTCTGCCAGTGTTTGTCAGTAGTAATGCAGATACTTTCTTAGTATACTTCTTAGCAATTTGGATCATTCTTAATTTGAGAACTCAGTCATGGGAACTCAGGGGAAAATAGAATTTCATAAAATGGAGATGACATTATACATCCAGATGAGTGTAATATGACAACTACCTGAGTCCAGGAAGATACCTACTTCTTATTCCAAACCAATATTAGTATGAATGGTTGTTGAGAATAGCATTAATAGTGTTCAAACTAAGTAGTAAAGCATATACATTTTGTTAATATTTACATTGACAGCCAGCTCAAACTAGACCCCAACATCTGCTTCCCGTTTTTTTCTAGGCTGATTTTCATGTTAACAGAGAGAGCACATCAGACATTTAAAAGTCCTAATGAGCACAATCATACGAATTTCCCTGATATCAGACACTCATACTGCTTTCATAGACAGCATTCTATCATATGACACTGACTGAATCAGTATAATACAACTTCTGTACAATGTGTAGAATAGCAAATTACAACACCAAACAATGGAGATGTGGATGGCCATTGATCCTGCCATTATCTCCATGCAGCAGGACTCCTGCCCCTATGAAAAGTCTTATAGTAATCAGCAGAGCTCCATGAATGGGATCCTACCAGGATCAGGTCCTTAGACCAAATTTCTCTTGGAACAATATTCCCATAAACATTTGCCATCTTGGCTCCTTAAAATAAGTATTTTTATCCAAAAGTGTTAATTGTTTAGTTTGCTAATTATAGCACATACCACTAATGTTTGTTAATTATTAATTTTTCATACTGGACTGGAAAATTAAGGTACAGATTCTATTAGGAGCTATATTTACATGACAATTATGTTTTAAAAATATCATAGTTCCAAAGCTACTCTGCCCTGTTGTGTGTGTTTGATAGCCCATGACACATGTTAGAAAAGAGGGCCCAATTCTCATCTAGCAGATAGATTGTAACTCAAGAATGGCTATATTGAAGGCAATGAAGTTATTTCACTGGGTAAAACATGAGTGAAAGAAGAATCTGGCCCAGTGACAGGATATAAAAGAGTGAGAGAAACTGAGAATACAAGCAAAATGTTTTCCCTTAATTTATTTTTCAGACTCTAATGTTATTTTGACTGTATAATTTGATTTTTAGCCTTGATAGTAATTTAAACATGAATCTGTTAGGAAAAATAAGATAACACCAGAAATATACTGCTATTTGGAGTTTATCTTTCTCAAGAGTGCATATTGCTTTCCATTTTCCAATTTTATACCAGGCTCTGCTTAATACCACAAGTAACCTTTCACCTTTATGATCTGACACCTGCAGTACTTGGAGATGTTTAGTATATAATGTTGCAGATCCCTCTGGCAATAGTCCTAAAGTACAACTGCTTGCTCCGCAGTTGTTGTAACAGCCTGATGTATGTTTTCTTTTCTCCCCCTTACAATCATATGAACTCAGCATTAGACTTGTAAAGAATATATTGCAAGATTGTCCAAGTTACTATTACACAAAACTGTGGCTCATAAAGACGCCATTATTAGTTTCAAACTAGCCTCTGGGGCCATATTCTGCTCTGTGACCTCAGCTGGGTGGCAGACTTCAAAAACTAATCTTTTGGTTTGCTACATCCAACTTTTAATATCTGTGACTTTTGCCCCAATCTTTATTTTAAAGCCAAAATGGGAAATGAACTGTATAATTTTAACTTGTAAAACAAACTGTTTCTTTTTATGTGCATAATGAGACATGCCCCAACAATTTTCATCTAACAGCATATAAATATAACTAAAAGGCAAAGAAAGGTGGAATCTACCCGTATTTTATTTTGAAATAATCATTACTAGAAAAGTTCTGTTCTCTTCATTTTAATTGTTTCTAATCAGAGATCCCAAACAGGTATCCTGTTAATTTGTCATCCATCAAAATTATGTCACTGCTACCTGTTGTGAACAGACTCTGATTTTAAACCAACCCTTCCTCCCCTTACTTCAACACTATTTAACATGTCAGCTGAAAAGATATTGGCTAAACTTCTGAAATAGCATATATACCGGAGATCACTTTTCAGTCCTCTCTTATTTGATATCTCTCTTTTCCTCTCTAATCTTATAAGTTTTTAAAGAATCTAGTCCATTGTTCAATCACTTTAAAGGAATTGTCAAAGCTTACCTCAAATTGTGGTTTTGTTTCTGTTTTTCACTGACATTATTTTAAACACTTTAAAAAAACCACAACCTTATGTCCCACCATGCTCTTAAAACAATCACAAGAGACTAGACCCTGCAGCAAGGTCACAGGGATAGCATAGTGATCACAAAAAAATTACGTACCTGTATGGTGTTTCTGAAGACAGTTTCTACACTTAAGCACCATTCACAGAGAAGAAAGCGTTTCTGGGCAGCAATCTAATGCATCTTCTTACTTTTTCTAATGTTCTGCTAATTGAGCAGTGTTGAGCAACTCCCTACAAAGCTGTTTAACCCCTTTGTTTCACACTCTGCCGTTCAGAATTGCTGAACACTGAAATACTTTCAGAGAGACTTGCTAGAAGTAATACCAGCTAAGCTAAAACCCTTGATTCTCACTGACCTAAGCTGCACATTCCAATCTATTAACAGGAGTGCTAATCAGAAATCACTCTTTTAGACTAAATTCCGGACTAGACATAAAGCATGAAAGTTAAGCTGAGATACTGCTTTACCAGGACTCAGTTTTTGCCGACTGGTTTGGTAAAGTCTGCGATGTCTCAGGACTCAGGAGCACTCAGTAAAATTGTGACTGAGAGGAAAATGTTAAGTGTCTCATCTCTGTGTTCTTTTTTCCTCCCCCCTCTCTTGTTCTCGCTGCTCACAGTAGCAAGGTTGTTTCTTGTATACTCCCTGCCCTTAAACTCACCAAACCAGATTTTTACTCCCAACACCAGCAACTTCCCGTAAATCTGAACTGAAATTTTATCCTCTTCACTGAGCCTTTGCTGGCTCAAGGCCAGTGCAGCATTCCTGTTGTTTTAGGAGAGCAGATACCTTTGTTTTTTTAAGGGGGGGAAGAGAATGGATAACCTGAAGAGATGTAAAGGCTGACGTCAGAGAGACACTTGGAAACAATTTAAGAATTGCTTGACACGCCATTTTTAATATAAATAAATAAATATGGAGTTCCAATGTGAACACCCAGAGAGGGAATGTATCGTCACTAAAACAGAGCCACTATTTGCTGAACCACCTGCTTGATCTCTACATACAGTGGTTTAGAAACAAGATGCTAAATCTTGAATATGTTCTAACCCCGCCCCCCTTTAAGCAACGTAGGTTTTCAATAGATAGATGAAGATTTAAAGGGAAAACAAATTAATAGCACTCACCTGAGGCATAGCATGGCTTGAATTAGTACAGGAAGGTATTGCACTAGGAGAAACCCACAAGCCTTTCTGATCCAAGTTTCATCAATAAGTGGTTGTGCTTGTTAAATAAGTGCCTCATGTCACCCCCTTCTGACCTGCAGTTACATCTGGTTTCTAGAAAAGGAACAAAAGAGAAACTAGTTTTAGAAATAACAGCCAAGCCCTCTTTTAACCTCCCTGTGATCTCTCTGAGAATTGTATTTTAACCCTAAAAAGAAACAGCAATGCCAGAGAGTAAACTTTTCCTCTCCACCTCTTTTACTCTACCTGCCTGTGCAAGGGTTAAGTAGCCTGATGTATTTAAACAAAGCACAAAACCTGTTTATAGTAAATGCAATCAGCCAACAGAAAGATAATTCAGTACTTGTGACTAAACAAACTGGAACAGGAAGCACACATCATCAGAAATTTTTTAAAAAGTACTAATTCCTGCTTGCATTGTCATGCAACTGAAAAATGTTTCTACTTCTCTTTAGACTGAGTCTTTTTATTCAATGGCAGTTCAGTTTTTTGTGTGAAAAGTTTAATACTCCTGTTGTTTAATCATTTACATGCAAACATTTGACAGAACAATGTTTGCTTTTTGTACAGATTACTATGGAACCTTTGCATTATTTTTCTTGTTTTGGGGAAGGAATGTTTCTGTAGCTAAGTTTTATTTTCGAATTATTTTTGTAATTTATGAGAGTTTGCCTATACTTTGCCCTATAATTCTTTCACACAACATGAATTCAAACAGGAGAATAATGAAGGGTCATAAAAATTTAAAAAATTAAGGTATATAGTATCGAGAGTTAAAGCTACTGTTGACAATATTCTGCAACCATATTTGTAAGTGATCATAAAATGCTGCTAGCTGTATCACCTGGGAAGATACTAAACCTGCATTATTTTGCACGTTCTGTCCTGTACAACTAAATTTCTCTGTTAATTTTTATGTAAGCAAAAGCTACAGTGACTCCTACTGAGTTTTGCTTGAATAAGAACTTCAGGATCAGGCCCATATTATTGAATCTCTCTAGTCCAGAACTCTCTGGTCTTGAAACATCCATGGTCCGGAATGATTTTAGTGAGGTGTATGTCCACTTTTCATGGGTGTGGCCACGTTTCCTGCTGTCCCATAAAGTTTGTTTACAGCCACTTGTCCTAGCTCTCAATGTTCTGTGTTGTTATTTAGCAACAATTTATCCCCATATGTCCTCTAACAGCCCAGTAAGCTGTGGAAATGATGATAATGCTGCTAGACAATATTGACCTCCCATAACCCAGAAAATTCTCTGGTTTGGAACCGGACAAGTCCTAAGGGTGCCTGATTAGAGAGGTTCAACCTGCATAATAATACCAAAGAATCACATACTGAAGCCATGTCTACATTAGTATTTATGTTGACAAAACTTTTGTAACTCAGGGGTGTGAAAAAATCAACTCTAAGCTACATAAGCACTTGCCAGCATAAGCACTTGTGTGCACAAGCTATGTGGTGGAGACTCTCTCCTGCAGACACAGCTACCATTACTCCTTCCACTAGTTTTTATTCTGTCTACAGTTGAGCTCTCTCCCATTGGCACAACATGGCTACATATGCACCTTTAAAACGGCATTGGGTAGATGTAGACATGGCCTAAAATTTGAAGTCTTGAAATGAGCGGCTAATGAATGAATGTTATGCACTTACTCAGTGCATAGTTTCAATGTTCCTAATTTTTGTATAATCAAAACCACCTCCTCCCAATCAGGGTATGTCTAGACTACATGACTGCGTCGACGGAGCCATGTAGATGAGTTTACTAGACATAGGAAAAGGAAGTGGCAATTTAAATAATCACTGCTTCATTTACATCAAAATGGCCACCACGCTGTGCTGATCAGCTGTTTGGCGGCACAGCGGGGCAATCTGGATGCACCGCGGTCGACAAAGGAAGCCTTTGTCGACCGCTCTGGTATGACTCATGAAATAAGGTTTACCAGAGCAGTCAACAAAGGCTTCCCTTGTCAACCACAGCGCTTCCAGACTGCCCCGCTGTGCCACCAAACAGCTGATCGGCACAGCGTGGCAGCCATTTTGATGTAAATGAAACGGCGATTATTTAAATCACCGCTTCATTTTCTTATGTCTAGTAAACTCATCTACATGGCTCCGTCGACGGAGCCATGTAGTCTAGATATATCCTCTATGAAAGACACCATCCCACTAAGAAGTCTACAGTCATGTCAAATGCTAGGTTTAAACTTCAGCTGCTTTTTTGCTGTAGCACTGCTCAAATAGACTAGTGATAGAATGTTTGTACAGGAGAAGTGTATTTTTCCCACTGCATCAAAACTCAGAAAGGAATAAATGGAATACAAATTTGGAAGATTTTTGACCCCAGAGATGCTGAACATTTTTGAAAGTCATAAGTAGTATTGAGAAAATAATGGGAGAAAAAAATTGTTCAGAAGCATTTATTTCAATTAAAGTGTGCTTGTTAGTCAACTGTACTTACAACCATTCCTCAAAAATATTTGAGCAGCTAATTGCTGCTAGAATAACCTTGCAAATTTTGAAGAATTTGCAAGTGTATATTCACAAATGTGACACTAGGTGGGTGAAGGCTACATCCAGAAATTCTAGCTCTTTATTTGGCATCTGTAGAAGAGTCAGATGATGATAAAGCCCCTATTTATGATCAAATATTGAATTTGTAAAGATATAACAGAAAACAATTTATCTGAGACCTTAAGGCCCAACCTGAATCAGTCTCTTTTTTTCTCCCTATATGTTCTATTTGTCCAACTTACACGGATGTTTAGTAAATCTGATGGTGAGAAGCTCTTTAAGGGCAAAGCAAAAAGTGATCCAGTGCTGGAATGTAAACGAGATGTGCTGTAATTTGCTGCAACACCCATCACTCTGTCGGGTTAAATGAGTCAAGTGCATTCAGAACTCTCTAGTAGTGAGCACAGGTTTCCTGTTCTCTTGCCAAGCCATGGTAGGGTTTCTAACTAAAAGAAAAGAATTTAATGAGTTCACAGCAAAGTGAATTAAGTTAAGTGCATCATGATTAGACTATGATCGCTAATCTTAAAAGAAAAAGCACTTGATTGAGGACGATGCCCTTCAAAGCTGATTGTGCCAATTGTAACTGAAAATTCTGGCTAGATACATGCTATCTCTCAACAGTTATCGGACATCCTTCTGAAATATCATAGAATCGCAGGAATGTAGAGCTTGGAAGAAACCTCAAAGTTATCATGTCCAGCCCCCTCTGCTGAGGCAGGACCAAGGAAACCTAGAGACCATTTTTGATAGTGGTTGTCCAACCTGTTCTTAAAAACATCCAATGATGGGGATTCCATGACCTCCCTTGAAAGCCTATTTCTGTGCTTAATGAGCCTTAAAGTTAGAAAAATGTTCCTAATAGCTAACTTAAATCTCCTGTGTTGCAGATTAAGCCTATTACCTCTTATCCTATCTTCAGTGGGCATGGAGAACAATTGATCACAGTCCCCTTTCTAACAGCCCTGAACATGTTTGAAGACTATTATCAGATTCCCCCCCCCCCCCAGCCTTTTCTCAAGATTAAAAATGCCCCTTTTTTAACCTTCCCTCATACATCAGGTTTTCCTAAATTTAACATGTTTGTTGCTCTCCTCTGAACTTTCCCCAGTTTGTCCTCCTCTTCCCTAAAGTGTGGCACCCACAACTGCATGCAAGACTCCAGCTGGAGCCTCAGTAGTACCAAGTATAATGGGACTGTTACTCCCTTATTTAATTAACTTCTGTTAATACACCCCAGAATTATACCAGCCTCTTTCATTATTACCTCGAAGTGATTCTCATTCAATCTGTGATCCACGATAACCCATAGATCTGTTTAGCAATATTACCACCTACCCAGTTATTCCCCATTTTGTGATTGTGTGTTTGATTTTTCCTTCCTAAGAAAAGTACTCTGCACTCGTCTTTATTGAATTTCATCTTGTTAATTTCAGATCAATTTTCCTATTTCTTAAGGTCACTTGAAATTCTAATTCCATCTTTCAAAGCGCTTGCATCCCCTCCCAGCTTAGTGCCATCTTCAGATTTTATAAGCATACTCCCCATTTTATCAGCCAAGTAATTAATGAAAATATTAAATAATACTAGACCCAGTGTACTGGCTGCTTTCAACCAATTTTATACTCATCAGATAGTAATTGCATTTACATCACATCTCCCTGGTTTTCTTACAAGGGTGTCATTGGGGATTGTGCCAAAACCCTTTACTTACACATCTACTGCTTCCACTTCTCCACTAGGCCAGCAACTCTGTCAAACAAGGAAATTAGGTTGGATTGGCCTGAGTTATTCTTAATTAATCCAGGCTGGCTATTCCTTATAATCCAATTATCCTCTAGGTGGCTATAGAATGATTTTTAAATAATTTGTTCTAGTATCTTTCCCTGGGTATGTAATTCACTGGGTCTTTTTTGTTACCCCTTTTAAAGATAGATACTAGGCCCGCCCTTTTCCAGTACCTCCCTGTTTTACATGCATCCTTAAAGACAATTGCTAACTGTTTCCAGATTGCTTGAGTTAGCTCCTTAAGTATCCTAGGATGAATTTCATCAGGCTCTGCCAGCTTGAATACATCCAGTT